TTTTCGTATCTCTGTCTGAAGGGGAGGGGACTGGGGACAGGCTTGACCACGGGAGATACCAGCCAGCAGATATAGGAACATTATCCCAGTACCCAAGGCCTAAATGAGCTTATCAACCAGAGTGGTGAGAGGAGTGCGCTTTTCGCGATTCAAATGATAAAAGGGAAGCGGTGCATTCTCACATCGCAGTTATTACTTAAGCCGGACACAGAGCCCTAAAGAATGAGACATAATGGGGAGGGAGATGAAAGGGAGGATAATCTAGCCATGAGTTTGAAGTCTATGGAGAGGAAGACTTCTAGGCACTGGCATGTGCATGGGTAACTGCTGTAAATCCTCGAATATGGCGTAATTGATGACGAGAATTGAAGGCTCTTAATCAGCCATATTTCAGACAGCCAAACAGTGATTTTGATGTTCAATAGCGGCCATTTGACAAGCGGGCACGAAAGAAAACAAAGGAATTGGAGGGAATAAGTCAGGAGCCCTGTAAACAGCATCTGCTACCGGCGGTGGAGACGATTATGCTTCACTAAGCCCATTTGTAGCAACACACTCTCAGGCGACATTGAAGGAAATGAGAGCACATAATTGTGTGAATAAATGGATGGGCCATATAAGTGAGGTTGGGAGAAAGCGATGCAGCACTAGAAGGTAGAAAAAAAATAGGGGCGTGGAGTGATGACACAACGGTTGAACAGACAATTGATCAAGGCCTTTACTTGTCACTGTTAAGTTGCAACTATGTCCTTACGATGGCGCCTCTCATTGACGATGCAGGCGAAACTTTTGGAAATGTATTCAGCCAATGATTGAATGCTGGAAATCACGAATGCTATGGCATAGGACATAGTACTAGGTACGTTCCACAAGGTCTCTCTGATGCTCCGATAAAGTTGCAAAAACAAAAACTGAGCCAACACTATAAAGCTAAGCGAGACTGCGACCAAACAGAAGGCCACATTCTCTTGGTGTTCATATCTACAGTTTGATCCATAGTTTAGAGCAACCTTTCACAGATGGTATCATTTATTTGTTTAAATGTAAGATTATGAACAGATCAAACTTTTAGAATTTTGTAAATGCTTGTATTACATTACTTATATTATTGCTTCATATTTTTCCCCTCTTGATTTATAAGAAATTGGAAAAGATGAAAAAAATGAATGCTCGCATCTTTATGGTAAAGTACTTCGCACGTGGCACAGCGCTGTTCCTCTGCGCAGCTCATCGCTTAGGAATGTTTTTCGATGCCGGATACATCTGGTTCCTATCTCCTTGGCTTCAAGTGCAGTGGTGGGAAGATCTTTTCCAGCCGCGGCCGTCTTCCGGCCCTCCTGATATGGACTGCACTGGGGAGCAACTGGCGAGCATGACTCAGTTTGCCTTTGCACTCGGCCTTGGTCTTGCTTCTGGCTACTTATCGCAAACGAATGATCTCATCCTAGGCGCGATCTCCGAGAGTGGACCTCATTTCCGAGGCAATTCAAGCGGACTTGTCCTTGGTGCTTCTGGAGCTGCTAGTAGCTTCGCAGAAACCCAGTTTATCCCTCCATTGTCTTTTTCTCTAGCGTCCAATTTATCCCCCTCTGCAACTCCGGATTATCCTTCCGTCGCTCCCACCGCTTCATCATCTGTCTCATCCTCTTCTTCGGATGCTGGCTCTGTTGACATGTACAAATGGTATACATACGAAGCAATTGTTATCCTGGGTCAGGCACTAAAGGATATGCTGCTCGATAATCCTAGTGCTGTCTCCATTCTGCACACTGTAAACGGGTCGAATGTGTTGCGCGACTACGTTTCCCGCGTCCGTTTAGATATGAAGACCGGTACAGCAAGTGGCGACCCGACATCTGGCGAATGGTTGCCAACTAGCTCTATCTCTTCAACATCAATCCTTCGGCCTTTGGCTGATGAGGCCGTTGAGGACATTTTTGGCCCCCACGAAGCAAGGCTACGAGTCCGACGTTCTCAAGCGGACTCTGGAGATATTGGTGTCCTGCCTACGGCTAGTCTGCGTTCTGCTATACAACACCAGCAGCAACAGCTATTAACGGAAGTGGGTATCCCGAGTGATGTAGACCTATTGCGCTTTAATTCTGAAAATGAGCGTGACGCCTCTATTTGGGTGCTGCGCCAATACGACGTCAATTCCACTCTGCCCATTTTCGTCTGGGTAGCTAACAACACCCTGCCGATGTCTAGTGGTAATCATTCTCGTTCAGGTTATGAGGAGTTCATGGCCACTGTGACTCGCAAAGAAATGGAGCGCGTGCATTGGTCTAATTCAACTAACGGCAGACCACCTAGCGATGGCTCTGCGGTTGCTGAACGAGCTTGCGTTTTCGGCTTCTTGACAAAACCATTTGGTCTGTCCTGCGTCAACGCCTCGGTTCTTGCATCCATTGCCATCCTCCTGATACTCATGACCCCTCTAGTCCTATGCTTTGCCATTCACTACAAACGAAAGCTGCGCGAAGCTGAAAATAGAACCAAGAAGCCCTATGAGGAGCTGTGTGCAGAATTGGCTGATTTGGATGTAGGTCACATATATTATGCATTCGTTTTTCACACTTCTATCTTTCCCAGAGTCGATCGGACTCGTAACTAAATGAATCTTTGGGGGTCAGTCATATGGCTGTCCGTCTAATCTTGTGGTTATCAGATCTTGGTTTGCATCTCATCTATGAAACGTTTTTGGGGAGACTTTCATTTCGTATGAAAGTGCATGCAGAAGAAATTCGTAGGTTGATCTCATCAGAAGAGGACAGATGAATCTCGTTGTACTGCAGCTGTCTGGCTTTTATACGATATTTAGGTTGACGAGGTCTACGAGACTTCCTCCCTCGTTTCGGGCTGTGCTTTCGTCCATCATATGATGGCCATCATCAGAGCTGGGTCTCATTCCTGTAAAAGTCTCACGTTAACACTAGGGCAAGAAGGCTATCTCCGGCTCTATCTTACTCAAGCCAAAAGAAAATTAAAAAACTATATAGATATAGAGTAGTTTGGCTAATTATCTTTCATATTGGTCCTGCTACTTTTTAATTTTCCTTTGACTTAATTTAGTCTATATAAGAGAAAAGATCATGCCGGATAGTCTTCTTGCGCCCTAGTGTTACCGTAAGACTCTTACAGGAATGGGACCCAGCTCTGATAATGTCCATCATATGATGGAATAAAGTTCAGCCTGT